CAGGCGGGAGCTTCATCTGTGAGTCAATTGCGAGGAAGTCTCAGGCGGGAGCCCCCGTCTGCATGGCGCCCGCAGATCACGTTATTAATCCGAGCGGGTCATCGGCTTCCTGGAGCTGTCTTTACTTTCGGCGTCTTCAAGCTCGAGTATGGCGGGGATCTCAGGCGGACTCCTCGTATGTGAGTGATTTGCGAGGAAGTCTCAGGCGGGGGCCCTCGCTCTATGAGGCCCGCAGCCCATGTTATTAATTCGATGGGGTCATATGAATCTTGCAATTCTGCTCAGATTTAGGTTCCTTAAGCTTGGGTACGGTTGAAATCTCAGGCGCGCATCTCGTCTGTGACTCAATTGCGAGGAGGTCTCAGGCGGGAACCCCCGCCCTATGGGGCCCACATCTCACGTTACTAGTCCGAGCGGTGCTTCGGAATCCTGTAATTGTCGTCACTTCTGGGCTCATGAAGCCTGAACCTAGAGAAGTCTCAGGCGGGGTTGCCCCATCGGCTGCGCGATGCGGCCATTCGAGAATGCACCCGTGCTGGCCGAGGCGGCGACGGCGCCGACGAAATCCGACGCGCGCGGTATCGCCAGGAGGAAGAAGAGGTGCACGAGGAAAACAGGCGGGGCGGAGATGAGGAGGGAGAGAAACAGGGGAGGTGAAGGAGGAGAAAGCAAAGGACGAAGAGGAATACTACGAGGAGGAGAGGGGGAGGGGACAAGGCGGACACTGAGGAGGAAGAAGAGGAACAGGAACGGGCGGAACAACAAGAGGATAAGACATGCAACGGGCATGACGAGACTGAACAGGAGGAGGATAAGGATGAGACGGGGGAGGAAGAGGAGGAGGAGGACGCAGGCGGCGGAAGGAAGGCCTCCGTCAGTCAAAAGAACAGGGGGAGGGACACTCGACATACATTCTCATGTGGGGTCCTACCGTCGGGGTGATTGTACGAGCGAGGGCGGCTGTTTTCGAACAGGGCACTTCCCGCAATGACATACTTCTTGTCGGGGCCTATGAAGACGGATATTGGCGGGAAGGTTTATTTGGCTTTGATTGGTCCTCCTTCCCCCCGTCCTCCCCGTCTCCTCCTCCTCCTCCTCCTCCTCCTCTTCCTCGTGTTTCCCCTCCTTCTCTTCCTCCTCCTCCTCCTCCTCCGCCTCCTCCTCCTCGTTTTCCGCCTCATATGGCCATTTTCGCTCACCCCCGTCTCCTCCTCCTCCTCCTCCTCCTCCTCGTCCTCCTCGTTTTCCTCCTCGTTTTCCTCCTCCCCCTCCCTCTCCCCGCCCCCTTCCCTGTCAGCCCCAGCCCCGCCTCCCTCCGCGTCATCTGTGTCTGCCTTCCCCCCCTCCCTCCTGGCACTCCCCGCTCTGCCGCCCCTCTCGTCCTGCTCCTTGCCTCCCTGCTGCCTCCTTCTACTTCCACCGATCCCTCCCTCCCTCCCTCCCTCCCGCCCCCTCCCTCCTCACACAAGTGACAAACACATTGGGGCCCTTTTTCTCCGACATTGGCGCGTAAGGTGGCCGCGCATGCCCGCGCAAACTCGCGCCAAAGCGGCCTCTTCTCCACGCGGTGTGCCGTGCCAGCGGCCCGCGTAGCCCGCGGCGTAAGGTCGCTATGTCGTCTAGCGTCACGCCCGTTTCTCTTCGTCGCCCACATGGTCATTTCGGTTCCCCCCTTTCGCTCCTGCGGTCGTGTGGGGACCCAGAACCCCAAGGTCGTGAATTTGCCTTCGCAGCGTGGACCCCTGGAAGTCTTGACCCCTGCCTTGCCCTGTCGCTATCAATCGCGATTTACAAATCTTGATATCCAAGCATCTGGGTGGGTGTTAAAGAGCCCGCGGAGGGAAGTGGAGATGAACAGGATAACCTCCCTCTGCGAAATTCTTCATGCGTTGCGGAGCGAGGGGGTCCGGCGGTCTCGTTTATAACAACATCACCCCCAGAGGTCTCGGCCCATTTCATGGGGCTGTTTCTTCCTCCAGGGTAGCTCTGTGGCCGCTCCGTGGCCAGTCGAGGACCCCCAGAGGCCGAAATCGCCGACAACAGCCGTCGTAGTCTTTAACGCCGCGACGGGGGCCTGGGCCTGGGGGTCGAAAGTTGACCCCAGAGGCCCCCCAGGGTCAGGCCAGCGTGGACCCCCAGAGGCCCGACCCCTTACCAGGAAAGCCAGCTTTTCATACAGGGCCTGGGATCAAAAGTCGACCCCCAGACCTCTCCTCGGGTGCGTTCTGACCAGAACTTGGATGCGAAATCCAGCCGTGGCGACGAGAAATACCCTCAAGGCCTACACAATCCTCGATCCTTGAAGCTCGGGGTTCGAAGTTCGGCCTGGGCCCGGGGGGCCCTGCTTCCCCCGAAAGGCTGGCACTGCGACAACTTCGCCGCGTGCGGGTCCTCCTGCGCGAGCCGCGGGCCGCACCGGTGGCACTGCCCCGGGTGCTGCGCGGACGTCTGTGGCGCGTGCGCCCACGTGCCTGGGGCGCCGCCGCCCGGGGGCCCCGAGGATCCGCGGGGGGGGGGACCTTCTGTCGAGGGAAGGGGCACGGGGACCATGACCACGTGTCGCGGGATCTTGTCCATGCCGATCTTGGTCATGGTCCATGTCGGCCGTCGCCGATTCACGAGGATAGTGCACGAGATTGACGCTGATCAAGATCGACGCCGACCAAGATCGGCACGGTGTTCCCGCGTGCATCTGGGCCTCCCGAGTGGGGTCCAGGCAGGTGGGGGCGAAGGGTCGCTCCGCATCGTCGATATATCGGCGATGCGGCTCGACGTGGAACCCTAGTTTCTTCACCGACATCACCGCTGCATCGCCGACGTTGCCGCTGCATCTCCCATGCATCGCGATGCATCGCATTGCATCGGCGATGCATCTGCGATGCGGGGGATTCTTTAATCCCAACTACTTGGAATTTATTTGGGAGGCCCCTCATATGCATATCCTCCCTGAGATCCTGGCGTCTCATGGATTTCGCGCCGGGCGTTCTCGCCCGGTGTCGGACTCCGGGACCAGCACGCCCTGATCATTGGATGCCAGATTCGTCTGGTCGCGACCGACGAGATCGGTCGCTACAGTTTTTGCTTCAAATTCCAGCATCGGTTAGGACCGACTTGCTTCAAAATCGTTGGTCGCGACCGAACGGTCGCGAACAATCGCGACTGATTTGAGAAGCGGTCGCGATCGGTCGCGACCGATTTGGAGTGCCGATCGGTCGATTCCGATAGCAACCGACATCAGAGTGAGGGGGCCGAACGGTCATTCATTGTCCCTGGGTTCGTGGGCGTGGCTGAATTGGGAATTCGTGGTGAGAATTCTGCTTGTTGCGTTGTTGTTGAACTCTCACGACTGGAGAAGAACTATTGGTGATCTCCCCCCTCCGGTGCACATTGCGTTTTGTTGATTGAAGTACCCCTCCCGGCGCTCGCACCCTGTTCTATATCAGGGAAAGTATTCGTCCTCAAACTATGTTGTTGGCCCCTGGGTTACAACAACAGTGGTTCCCGCCTAAGGCTTCCTCACAATTTAACTATGACACCCGCTCCTGCCTGAAACATCCTCGCATTTTCTTCAGAAATCGCCCCTTGGGTCTTCCTTATAATTTATTCAGGGCTCGTTCTTTCGGCGCTTTGGAGTCGCGCTCTCGCTGGAGACGTGCTAGCAATTTACTCAAGAATAGCGTCCTTGCTTTGGAATTTCCCGCAATTTACTCAAGCGCCATGCTCCCGACACTCAGGCACCCAAGAGTCGCGCTCACGCGTAGGACTTCCTCACATATCATCTAGGGAACGGGATCCCCCTTCCCTTCGTGGCCCCGTTACAGCCATTCGTGGCCCCCTCGCTGCCCTTCGTGGACCCGTTGCAGCCCTTCGTGGCCCCCTCGCTGCCCTTCGTGGCCCCGTTGCACCCCTTCGTGGCTTTCTCGCTGCCCTTCGTTGCCCCGTTGCAGCCCTTCGTGGCCCCCCCGCTGCCCTGCGTCGCCCCGTTGTAGCCCTTCGTGGCCCCTCGCTGCCCTTCGTTGCCCCGTTGCACCCCTACGTTACCCCCTCGCTGCCCGTCGTGGCCCCGTTGCGCCTTCTTCGTGGCCCCCTCGCTGCCCGCCGTGGCCCCATTGCAGCCCTGCGTGGCCCCCTCGCTGCCATTCGTGGCCCCGTTGCAGCCCCTCGTGGCCCCCTCGCTGCCCTTCGTGGCCCCGTTACAGCCCTTCGTGGCCGCCTGGCTGCCCTTCGTGGCCCCATATATGTCTGCCCTTCGTGGCCCCCGCTCGTTCGCGCCCGTTGCCCTTCGTGGCCCCGCTGTCGCCCTTCGTGGCCCCCTTGCTGCCCATGGTGGCCCCCTCGCTGCCCGTCGTGACCCCGTCCTTGCCCTCCGCGGCCCAATATACGTATGCCCTTCGTGGCCCCCGCTCGTTCGCGCCCGTCGTGGCCCCATGTGCTCGCTCTTCGTGGCCCCGCTGTCGCCCTTTGTGGCCCCTCGCTGTCCTTCGTGGTCCAGTTGCAGCTTTTCGTGGCCCCGTCGTTGCCTTCGTGGCCCCGCATTATTTGCCCTTCGTGACCCCCGCTCGTTCGCGCTTTTCGTAGCCCCATACGCAGTCCCTTCGTGTCCCCGCTGTCGCCCTTCGTGGCCTACTTCGTGACCTTCGTGGCCCCGCTGTCGTTCTCTCTCGCTTTCGCTCGTCGTCGTCGTCGTCGACGTCGTCGTCGTCGTCGACGTCGTCGTCGTCGTGGCCGGGTCGGTTCCCTGTCGGTCCCTCTTGGGGTCGGGTTGCCGCCGATCAGCGCTGCCGCTGGCCAGGCCAACGGTCTGCGGCCGCCCCGCCGCTTGCCGGGGCCTGGCCTGCAGGGAAGAAAGGTATACCCCCCAAAAGAAGGTGTACGCGTTAACGGACACCCGAGCAGATACGAGCGAACAGTCTTAGAATAATGATTGTTGCTGTTGTTGTTATTGTTGATGCTGTTGTTGATGCTGTTCATGCTGTTATTTTTGTTGTTGTTGTTGTTGCTGCTGCTGTTGTTCTTATTGTTGTTTTGGTTGTTCTTTGTTGTCGTCCCACCCGCGACCCACCCGCGACCCAACCCGCTACCCACCCCGCGACCCACCCCGCGACCCACCCGCGACCCAACCCGCGACCCAACCCGCGACCCACCCGCGACACACCCCGCGACACACCCGCGACACACCCGCGACCCACCCCGCGATCCACCCGCGACCCACCCCGCGATCCACCCGCGACCCATCCGCGACCCACCCGCGACCCACCCCGCGACCCACCCGCGACCCACCCCGCGACCCACCCTCCTGGAGGGGAAAACCACCCGGATCCGACAATTGACGTTTACTAAACGGCCCTGGGGGTTAATGAAAAAGCCCTGCCTTGTTCGATTCATCCCTTGTGTGCGTTTACTAAACGGCTTCGCTTGTCGGGGTGATTCTTATGGGTTGGATTATCTGCCCTCTACACCCGCGACCCGACAGCGACCCAACCGCGACCCACCCCCGACCAATTTGCGACCCACCCGCGACCTACCTACATTGGTTTAGCGAAAAAATCGGCACTCGGGCTTGTTGCATAATTTGTGAGACTTTGGCGCTTGCGGCGGGCCTCTCCAGAGTTTCGGAAACTGCCGACGTCCCCACCGCCCCCTCACTCTTAGGCGCATCTGCGGGGTGCTACGTATTTGGTATCCGCTCATCTGAATTCGATTCTGGCGTGTCATGCTGTTCGCGCAGGCCGTTTTCGCTTGGATTCAGGCCCTGGGGCTATCACGGATCGGCCCGGCTGAGCCGGCACAAAAGCCGGCAAAAAGGAAACGGGAACAAAAGCACAACGGCCCCGTCGTTTCCAATAACCACTGAGTCCCAGGCCCCCCTCCGCGTGGCGACGAAGTCACGACCACCTCGCCCCCCGCAGGAGGGGCTCGGCGGGCTGGTCGTCGGCCCGAGCACTGGCCGGGTTGTTCGTTTCCGCTCGGTTTCGCCCCCTGGTGTGAGCGGCTGGTCGCTCTCCCTTCGACGCCACCCGCGCTAATCTCGACGGGAGGCTCGCCTCCCCCCGCCCGCCCGCCCACCTGCCTCGCCCGCCTGCCTCGTCCGCCTGCCCGGAGGCCTTTCCAGCTTTCTTCTGCTCGCCTAAGAGTGCGTTTTGTGGGCGCTTGGAGGGGTGGCGGGGGGTTTGGAACCAGACCCGCCCGCCCCTTCCCCAGGATTGACTTGGGGGGGTTCGAACCTCCCCCCCCTCCCGTGACGCAGGCGGGGGGGGGTTCAAATCCCTCCCCCCCGTACTTTTCCTCTCTCCCCCTCCTCGGGCCGGCGCTGGCGTCGGCGGCGGCTGGCGGCGGCGGCGGGGAGCGTCGATGAAGACGACGACTTCCTCTTCTTGGCCCGCGCCGGCGCTTGCGGCGGCTGGCGGCGGCGGCGGGCAGCGTCGACGAGGACGAATCAGGCGATCGCAAACATGGATGAAGGGGGCGTGGATTAGCGACGGGTCCCGTTTCCCCAGGGAACCGCGGATTTCCGCCGCCGAGTGAGTCGGCACGGTCCGCATTTTGGGGAGGTACCTTCCCCCGATCCATGGATTTGGCGACCGCGCGCTAAATCGAGGAGGAGGGAGCAGGATCAGGAGGTGGTGGTGCACGTTGGCTTAAGCGTTACAGCTGTGCTCATACTACCTCTGAAACAAAACAAGACACTCAAAATTTGAATTCAATCTGTCCTCTCCACGGCGCAATTCTCTGTAAACGCCGTTCACGAGCTATGGCACGATTGGCTGCAATCCGTGCCAGTTGCTCCTCGGAAAGGGCGGGAGGCGGAGGAGGAGGGGAGACCACGGACAAGAGGGGGCGGGCCTCCTCGGCGCCCTGGGCGGCGCCGGCAGCTGTCTGCCTGGCCTGCTCCGCGGGCGCTGCGGGCGTCGTCCCTCCCTCTGTCGGGGACGACGGCAGCGGCGACGACGACAGCGGCGAGGGCGGCGGCGGGGAAGGGGGAAGAGGAGGGCTACACGAGAAAACAAGCCACCTCTCAGGCTCATCAGATCTCAAGGTCGATGAACTGCGAGCAAAGTCTGGGGCAACCTCGTGAGGCCTGATCGGGTCCCATGGCACGTGTAACTGTTGGAGCTGGTGTCGGATCTCCTCTGATTCACCATCGTCGTCCCAGGGCTGAGATTCGTCCAAGATACGTGTGCAAGCATCCACGATGCCTCTCGCAAGCGCACGACACATGTTGCCAGGATACGTATTTTTTCTGTGCTGTGCGGAACCTCCCCTCGTTGGTCTTCCCCTGTAGTACCAGGTGGGAGTTCGGAGGATGAGAACACCTCCCTTGCAGCGCAGCGTAGATAATTGGCATGCGTATGGCGAGCACTCGTGTTGGCGCCTTCCCAAACGTGCTGGGGTCGCCCTCTTGAAAACAGCACTGGTCGAAATCTACTGTGGTGGCGCACGGTGCTGAAGCAATGGCGCGCGCTGGCGGCCACATGAACGAGGTAGGTGCGCCATTCCTCC